CTGCTTTTCAAGTGCCCCAGACGTTTTGTTGCAGAGTCGTCGGCTTGTCGCCGTGTTTGATTATTTGTAAAATGTCGTACATTTGTCTGCTTGGTGTGACCTTCAAAACGGCGACGGTAGTGTACTTGTTATTAATGTGTGTTGTTTGGCCTTTGCGAGGTTACAAAGCGACGGTTTGAAACGCATTAATAGGTCTTTATGGGTTTTTAGAATTTATACAGTACGTCGTAATTCATCTTGGAAGCAGTCTGTATATGTTGTGAATGATGAGGAACATATTGTAGCATTACTGAAATTTTGTTTTCATTTCATCATTCTCTTATTATATTTTATTCAAAAGATAATAGTTGTGAAACAGTATCATACATTATACATACACTTATTACTTAATGATAATGATTATTACTTGACTATGGAAAGGGAAGAAAATAACAATTCTATCAATATACATTGGACTGTCATTTTATGACAAGTTCACTGTGAACTAAAGCTAGGCGTTACTTGTTCATTGTGCACTGGAGCTTGGTGTTTTTACTGGTTCACTGTGTTCTGCAAAGGTTTGGGGCAGCTACAATTCTTTGATTAGTAGCTATACTCACTTTAGACTTGACAATTTTTGCTCAGTTGTTGACCTTTTCCATAGCATGTTGATTCTGTGTACTATGAGTAGTAAGCGTGATATCCAAGAAGGGATCTCCTCCCTACCAACAACCCTTCAGCCGGCGGGAGGATGTAAAGAACTGGTCCACCCTGACACACCTGCCCTGGAGACACCAGTCAAACTTTCTCCACGGTTCTTACTCTACCTGTCCTCATTTCTCACCCTCATTATCACTTCCCCATCCCTCAACTTCATCCTCAGGTCGTGTAAGGACAGTGGTGTCACGGATAACAGCCCATCGATTAGAGAAGAGAAATGTTGTTAGTGTCGCCGTTACTTCAGCGGATCTGCTCGTTACCGTAACCGTAACAGAGACGGATTCGCCCGGGTATCTGGTAACAACTTACTATGACTGATGACGTCTTTAAATCTTAACGTTTTTTTAAATGACTGCAATGCGGTAGATTACATGGGAAAAATGCTTGAATGTTTCATAATGACTAGTGTTTTTGCAAATATGACAACCATGAGACAAATTGGTGCTGTTTATCCATATTACCCAAATGTGAAAAAAAAGATGAATGTCCGACCTTCAAGTCACCTTGAACAGAAGACTGCAGTCATGAGTCTTAACTTACCAAGGGCGAAAGTCAGCGTGAAGACGTGGTGGGTTCTGGCAGTCTGTGACGTCACATGGGGGATGACACTGGTTGTGTCCATGACCTGGTCTCGTACCGATGTATCTTTCCTGTGAGGTCAGGTCAAACTAAAAGGTCACTCGTAATTAGAGATGCTAAGATAAATCTCAGAATCATTTACAATTTCTGCATACATACGTCTTTCGAAGTACGGCTTCGTAATATATGTCCTAAGGCTGTGAAGTTGATGAAGACTCATAGCTAGATTGTCTATGTCTGATTTTGTGTGCTTGGACTTAACTATGACCCTGACCTGGTCTCGCATCGGTGTGTCAAGTCAGGTCAAAAACGAGAAGGTCACACGTAATCAGAACTGTTGAGATAAATTTTGGAATCATTTACAATTCATATGTAGATATTTCTTCTTGAGTGTAAGACGTTGCTGTCCTAATGTCGTCCAAAATGATAAACTCATGGTTAGACTTCTGGTTTCGCCGAACTTGGTAAATTTTGATCATGGTAGAATCCAGACTCTACGGAATCAGCATTGGCTTAATAGTCCTAGACTACATAATAGACAACACCACGCCACATAAGACACACGTCTAAGCTCAGTTCTGTATGAGATGCAAAGTTCTTTCCTGACCCTGATTTTCTTCTGCGATGGTTAAGAAGTTATTTTAAAACACACTCAAGTTGTTTTTCCTCAATATTATATGTTGATGCATTGTTTCTAAATATTATGTATAAATGATCATGCCTCAGCGGTGAACTATACATTAAAAATAGCACCATTTGCCTTTTGGGTCTCTCCTAATGTAAGCAATGTGTCAGAGTTAAATTATGAAATGATAGATCGTACCATCTTGTCAAACAAGATGCATTGTTGTGATTACTTTGGTTCCAAAGTTATTAAAAAGTTATACACATGTATGAATGTTTTCTAAAAGATTAAGTAGCTAATTTAGAGCGCGCTCTGCGGCAAGACATGAATATTTATGGCCCGGTTCTGCCTTGTTGAGAACAATCTGTATTGTAAGTGTCAAGCAGTGAAACATGCGGCAACTTTCAAGGCCAAGGGCGTATCCATCTTTAGTGGGTGGATGGATGAGTTTGTGTCTGGAAGTTGCCACAACTCGGCGTTAATACCGACAACGTATTTTATCTGCCTTCTGTAAGACTTATACCCTCTAATTCTAATAAAGAGGCTTAGGCTTCGGATTATTTTTATTAGTTTTAGGCGTTTTTTATCTGGCTTTCTTTATTGTACTGGTATCTTTTTACGCCAGCCTTTCGGATGGCAAACCTATGCCAGCCCTGTGTCACTCTATCATGTACATTTCTGAACACGCGTGTTCAAGAGCGTAGATCGGCCCCAGGCACGGTGCTGGATACCCGTGGACTACTAGTATCCTTCTCTGAGCATAGTTCTGATAGAGCAGGGTTCTGGATAAAACAGGACCTCAGGTGATGTATAGTTTATGACAGAAACCAGCCAGGTGTGGCAGAAATGTTGTCTCAACGGCTAGGTTCTTGTAATTGCTACAATATTAGTATTGGAGAAAAAATAGCACGCAATATAAATTTCATTTCTGGTTTCTCATGCCCTGTCGATATCCATGATTGGTGCAATGAATAATCAGGTGACCATCAGGGCTATACATGTTGGTGTGGTAATGTAGTCTAATGTAGACATTAATGCAGAAAAGTTTGCACAGGACTTCACGCCACCTGTTGATTTTCTGTTAAACTGCAGCAGAAGGAAAACCGTCCCTCAAGTTTCAATATTTACCTACCTACGTCATATTACACATAGCCAAGGACTGCCTGCTTTGATATGTATAGCCGGTTGCTTATGCATGTGCACCAAGGCTCCACTTTTATTTCTTTGTTTTTCTTCCCCTAACTTTTACACTTCTCCCGGGGGCTCCGGGTAAAGGCCTGTCTTGTGGTGCTTGTCAGTGGCTGGTTTTGTGCAATTGCAAGGTGTGCCCTATTCACGTTCAGCATTTACAAACATAGAATGTTTTGGTAGCATTTTTATTATCTTTACTAGTGCGACATAACTTTCACGCTGTTCTTCCCGGAGTCCTAGAATGTCAGTCCCTACTGGTTGCTGAAGTTGTCATGATGCTCTCATGACGTTGCCGTCACCCCCTGACTTCCTTTTAATGCCTTCTCTTTCTATGTTGTAATCCTCACTCAGGCCGTACGAGGATAGGATGTCCCCGTCTCCATCATCAGCGAGAAGTCTGTTTGTAACTCACAGCGCCAAGACTAACGGTCAAGGCCGAAACTTCATCTTGCTTCATCTGCGTTCGATGGCCTGATGTGACCTGAAGTCAGGGAGATGCTTTTAAGATATTAGGGTAAACATAAGGCTGGTTCTGAATTAACTAGTTGGTTGGAGAGTTAAGAGTCACTTTCACAAATTAGGAAAAATGAGGCGTCTAGAGGTCTACATCAAAGCTGGTCAACTGGGATCATCTTCATTTCAAAGGCATTTCCTTTTAATGGAAACGCACTTAACAAAAATTACACGTTCATTTACCACATGTTACACGCGTTTAGTTCTTGCATAGAAACGTTTTTGCTCATCCTGTTCAAAGTGCCGTCAGTCCAGTCGGAGATCGGACAAACTTTCACTTTCAAAGTCGCAATTTTCTCTGCATTCTAACGCGTGCTTTGGGACCAGGCAAGATTTTAGCCGTCTCTTTAAGACATAGCCTTCTCTTTAAGATGGTTTTCTCTGGCGACTTTAAGACGCTGTCTTGAGATTTACCTTGAAGAAGACGGCTCCTTATCTGGACAACCTCAGCGTCTTCAAAGGGCTGAAAATGTCGTCGCTCCAACTTCCAAGCGAGAATTTCTTTTGGAGGCTTTGGCAAAATTACATAGGATCTGGAAATGCCGTCGGTTTTACTTCCAAACGAACATTTCTTCAGGCAGAATTACAACCTTAAGTCTGTCCGGGTCTGAGCTTGTGATGTCAACTTGTTACATCTCTGCCGCCGGCTCTCTCGTGATCCTATTATATCACTCACATTCTCCGCATCCTGGAGTGTTCAAAACAATTTCAGGGCTGGTTGAACCTTCCTATTAGTTTTTTTTTTTTCAAACATGTCATGGCTATACATGGTGACGGCACACTCAAGTTATATCAACTTATTTTATGCCGTCACCAACGCAGAGGACAAATACAGGACAGGGCGATACTCTTTTTCACTTGAGCCAAGACGTGTGAAGTGCCTTTCCAAAGGGCACAAGATGGGTGGCATGTCAGGACTAACCCTAACCCACACTTTACAATGATCTAGTTTTTGCTTTATTTTTTATACCATCACTAAGAACCAGCGAATGAGCCTCACAGATATCAGTATGTTATGCACAGGGTTGATTTAACTTACTACAGTACAGTAAAGGAATGACCAGAAAATTGACTTTGTAAAACCATTTCTACTTCCCTGAAATCGCTTTAGGTGCCTTGAAGAGTTTAAACACAACTGCGTGTGAGGGGGAAATCTGACCAACTGAAGTACATATAATTGTTCAAATCCGTGATAATGTCTGAATAGGCAGCTGAAACACACAGAGTTGATTCTCATTGTTAGTGTACTGTCAACGTTGTCGGTTTTATCAACTTATGTCCTTCGCAGCATACCAGTTTTAAACTTTTTGGATTTATCCATCCATCCATCCACCACTCTCCTATGTATATAACCACCTATCCTACTAGTAAACTGTCGGACAAAGTGTTCCAACAAAAACAACTCCATACTTTATTGACAGACAGCGACAGATCACTGTTTCACTCTACCATGTACATCTCTGAAGGCCACTGGAGGTCACGTGTGCATGTGGGACCTATCATATCAACTATCACGTGTTTATCACGTGTCATCATGAGCAGAAACGTCCTTGACTTTGAGAACGACAAGGTCAAACATTCGAAATTTCTGTCATCACTTTACTCTGCCTGCGTGCCGTATGACATGTCTCTGTTTTCCTCAGCAGATTACATGTCCAAGTTCAATATACAAGTTCAATATACAAAAGAAGTCCTGGAATTTCTTTGAAGTCGCCGCCAACAAGCTGTTTGTGCCACACATTCCTGGGAAATGTGTCAAGTTCAACATCACTGTCGCCAATTTGTCGCCAGCATGTTTTTGCTACAAGCGGCAACGATTTTGCTACAAACGGTAACAGCTATCTTATCTACATGTTACACTGCAATTTTTGTCACAAGAAAAGCAATTCTATAAAGATGGCCTTTACATATCATTGAAGATACATTCAATGTTACACAATCTTAAATGTTCCACCTCTGATTATAAGTTATATATTAATCTTATAGACTTATTCTTTAAATTTACGTTGTTACAAGATTATCGTCTAGAAATTACAGAGATATCACTTACAAAAATAGCAAGTTTCCGTCCAATATATACAGTACAATAACAATTCTACACGACGTCATACATTTTGTACTTCTATTAACTCCTTAACCAACGCTGTACATCAAAGTATTTACTCTTAACATAGCAGTACGGATAAAGCGACCACTAGTAGCTCACTTAAGTTATATGGTCATTTTTTAACGTTCTATACTAATCAAGATCACTTAAAAACGTGGCATTTTCGACTGAAATGCTTTGGACGGATTTCCAATAGCCTTCTCAATGCACGCCAATCAGTGTTGCAGAACACCTTACCACCGACAGAGGTCGCTGCTTGGTGGCGGTCACTGACGTAGCCAAGCTACAGGCAGTTTACAGTCATGTGACTATGACGCATTTCATCGCCAGACATTTTCTAACCATTCGTTCCCCCATCTACCTGACCATGTGTGATATTTGCCTTCGCATACTTCGAGAACACCTGACTATCCTTCTTCTTAAAACCGCCGTCTGTGCGTTGGCAATGTCTCATCACTATCACACCAAGCCAAGATGGCGGCGATGTGCATTTACAGTTGTGACGTCAGACGTTCTATTGACCTTTGACCTGTACGTCATGCTAGACCGGATGTTGTAGAGTTTTACTGCTGCGGACAGTTCCTGTGGCAGGTGCAGGAGTGGATCCAGGCCACGTCCTGCTTGATGGGGGTTCTGTCCTCGCAGATGAAGTCCATGGTGGTGGTCTTGACCTTGTAGGGCGTGCAGCAGCGTCCGCTGATGGTGCAGCCGCCGCACCACCTCCACCTGGGGGCAGAGGGCAGAGGGCAAAGGTTAGACGACGAACGGGGACCGGGGCCGGGGACGATACCTTTTTTTCATGCAACACTATACGTAAGAGCACGTGGCCTAAACAATCGGGTGTTTATCACATAGAATGATGTCAGATATCCATTCCAAAATTTATCGAGTTAAAGGTTATCATTTTTGATGCGCTAAGATCGTGTAGACCTTAATCGATAGTTTAATCATGGGTATTAGGATATGCCATGCAGCTTAAGATAATATAAGTACCATATTTAAGGGGGGGGGGGTCGTAACTATTAACACTATAAGTAAGCATACTTAGTCAACAGAGTAAGGAGTATTCTTAAAACAGCAGTGGTAAGTAGAGTACTGACTTGTAAGCCTTGACGGTTGTGCATCTCGTGTTGTACCAGCTGAAGGTGATCTTACTCGGCTCCATGGACCGGATCGTGCTGCGGCACTTCTTACCATCCTGCGGCGAAACACACGAGGAACGTGAATAAAATAATACAAAATGATCTAGATTTACTTAGGCGCTAAAATAATACAAAATGACCTCGTACATTTATTTGCAGGCCCTTGCCCATGTGGGCTGGTGTTTCTTCTACTCCTCCCTCTGCTCCTGTTAAGTCGACAAGTGGATTCAATTTCTTCAATTTTTTTGCCAGAAGACATTAAATATATATGGGAGGGAGCAATGGGCTATTACCCCAGAATGTATTAAGCCTCTATCAGTATCGTTTTGGTTAATTATTAAATGATAAATATTAGAATTAGGGAGGTTTTTTTTTATTTAGAAAAAATTGAAAATTTCGAATTTTTTAAAGTGTTTGTAGATTTTGTAGATGTTCGTACCTTGACATAGTCGAGGTACTGCAGGTCGCAGGGTCTCATCTGACAGATGCGCTTCTCCACCTGCATCCTGCACTCCGGGTTGTGATTGGACACTCGTGTGGACACGCCCATGCCGCACGTGACCGAGCACTGGCTCCAGGACGTGGCCTGGAGGAGGCAGGCGACGGGCTCCGGGTACTCCGCTGGATAAACGGGAGGGATAAAACACTGGTTACTTCAAGACAGGCGTTAGAAGTGGCAGCATTACAATATTTCTAATCCAAAATGTGTCGGGATCAGATTGTAGGACCTTTGGGTGTAACGCCTGTCGAAAGTGTTGTTTCCAGAACCGTGCCTGGGCCAAATCTACGTCTTTGGACAAACGGGAGAGAAAACACGTTACTTCAGTCAGTCGATGTATGCAGTACTGCGCAAGATGTTCTCTTTAAGCACTCTTAAAGAATGCCTTAAGGTCCCTTTTGGTAATTTGATGCTTAAATACTACTTTTAAGGCACCTTTATGTGTGTCCAAAATGATACGTTGTGGCATTTATTGATATAGTACGTTATAACGATAGCTCGCCCCCTTAGGCCAAACCTCTTCTTGTACCTTAGTATCTTTGATCCATACGTCTTCATTTGACATATACCAGAGCTGCCTATTAAAACACCACAAGCCTGCTAATTTTACATGGCTGGTCTGCTCGGCTAAACTTTACACGCTATATGAGAACAAATGCCTAAGAGAGACTTTATTCCCATAACCTACCCCTGCTGGTATGACAAACTCGCGGATCAACTCAAGTTTACTCCGCGTCACCCCGATCATACCGGGAATGTTCGCCCGTCTCAGGAAGTCAGTGTTATAGCAAATACCGTATCTCGACTAAATCTTCGTTCTTTGATACGAGGAGACTACCAAGAACCGTGCCTGATCCTAACTCATTCAGGGATGGAACTAGATACCAACGGTTCTGGATACAATAGACGGAAAAACATGGTATTTCACTCAGCTCAAAAGATTTTCGTGGTCGACGATTCGACATTTCCTTGAGGCTTCTCTTTCTCCAGACGGCGATTAACTGTTCTCATAAATGAATCAAGAATCTTGCCGAAATTCTGCCAAGCTTGGCACGGGAAGTTGGAGGCAGCCGTGTTCCCAGGACCAGGACAGGAATGTGTCACTATGTCCGGCGGTATGTCACCCGGTAATCCCGCTCACGGAGTGGGGAATCCTCCTGTAAACTTCACGTTTCGTGTTGTACTGATGCAGACGGTTAAACTCGCGCCTGTTTGAAGTACAAAATCCCCCCTCCAATTAAATCCGATCTCCTAAATCCGTGTACGTCATACGGGCTAATCCTCCCGCAGGTGTCAGGTGCCAAAATCAGCACATTTCTCTGTGGAACTTTCTCTCTTTCTTTTCTCACAGTGTCCAAGAAAAGAAAAATCAACTTCATCGATACTGTCTTGAACGCCACACAAATCATTGTCTTGGATAAAAACAGACCTGAGAACGTCGTACATGAATTGATGGATTCGACTTTCCCGCATTTGATTTTTCGATCATTATTGTCATCTCGCGCGGAAGTCTTTTAAAGCTTTAAAGACCAATAGACAACATTGCAGACGAACTCCCAACCACAGATGATTTTGCTCGACTAAATCGCAAGGCCTGGACAAGTTCGAGTGGCCACGGTCGGCAATGCGTGACATGGGCTTTTATTCTCTCCATTAACGGCGTTTTTTTTCGTCCCCTACGGCACTTCAAACGGCGGCAGCTGACTCCAGGGCGTCGCCGTTCAGTAGGCCAGGGCTACGGTGTTTTCCACGTCTCTAAGTTACGGAACAACCCGGCTGGAGCACACCTGCGGTACCAGATGCGTTCCCGCGGGTTCACACAGGGACGGTAATGGTCCTGAGAGCTCTAACCACTCCGGCCGTAACTCACGCGGCTGAGTGATGACCGGCACGTGCGACCTTGGACCTGGGAGCTGCCAGGAAGGGTTTTACCTAGCCTGTGTTACACAGTCTCTCACTGTCAGCGGTATTGCATCCAGGACCTTTCCTCATTCTTTGCCTGAATGGGTTGGGGTAGGGATCAGGGACGGTTCTAGTCTCTGCGTATCCAAGAACTAAGATTTGCCCCAGGCACTGTAATTCTGGGTACGGTTCTGGATAAAGCACGGTTCTCGAACAGGGTCCGAGATGTTGCCAATGTTGAAGTTACGTAACATGACATCCTGCCCAAACAAGACCTCCAAGTCCTACACTGACCAAACGTGGCAACGCTAGGCAACCATCCACCGAGATGTCACCAAACCCTTACACGCTACCTGACACTGGGAATGACTAAATATTGATCCTAAAGTGACGACGTAAAGTGAGAGCCCGGGATGTAGCCACTGCTGAAGTTTCGAAAGTGACATATAGCTCGCACGAGACCTGTCAGTGCAATGTAGACAGAACGTGCCGAGACCTGGCGACTGTCAGACATGTCCACACAACTTTCCCGCCCCTCCTGACCCACGAGAAACGGTAAATAGTCATACCCAAGCGGTAAGCTTGGTGCCTGGCACGCTAAGGTGTTTTTATGCTGTCTTGCAGAAAGTTGGGGATCCATAAAATTCCTCGCAACAAATCGTAAAATGTAATTTTAGTCTTAGTTTCATTTTCTGTTCGTAATTAACTTAGCTACAAAGCATGGGACGTTCTAGCGTGTATCTAAGATAGGATGATATGATTAAACTAAAAAAAAAACGTACTGAAATTCTTGAAAAAAATTGCAAAATTGTCCAAACGTGACTGAGTGAATCACTTGCTTGTTCAACTACTAAATGGACCGCTATTTTGGTCAGTAACCAGAGAGGTCCAGCTGCTCGTAAAAGGAACAGGTCTGCGAGAAAAGGCGTCCAAGAATCCGCAGCAAACTTGATAACGATTAGTGAGAACTATTCCAAGTATGTGTCAGAGGAAACGACGTGACATCTAAGACCCTTAACTGTTTAAGATCCACTTAAGACTGTCTGTTACACTGGCCGGACGGAAATGAGACAACGTCTTCGTCTATGACCTACTAACATCAGTACAAGCTGTTCTAGATTATGATAAAACTCATGATATTTTAATAGTGACCAGCTCTTTGAAATTGCTTCTACGAAAAATGCCCGATACTTTCTTATGTTCCTGTAATATAAAATGAATTGGATGCGAGGAGAGTTTTTAAAAATTTGCGAGCTGGTTTTACCTAGCCCATGTGTTACTGAATCTCTCGCTTTCAGGGGCTGAATGGGCCTACTGTCTACTGATTCTTCTAGGTCAGTGGAAAAGCCAAACGTACGTGTTGTAGTCAGGCTATGTTTTAGTTTTACCTCGACATATGGGGGAATAACAAAGGGTTTTAATAGTCGTTAATAAACTCGGGTGTTTGGTCAGTTTGTTAAAAGTGGTGCTACAGCAAGAAAGCCCATGGCCTTTTTCTTCAGAATTTCAGACTTCCAGCTGCGACCAAATGCCGCCGTGATCCGTTTAACCCCAGCCTGCGGCGTGTATATATCAGCGGGCCGGGAATGGGGTCCGGGTCAGCGTGTTAAAGGGTTAATAAGTAAGACGGCTCAGTTTGCGTGAGGCCCGTAACAAGACCCTCTCCACTCTTACGTAAGGAGGAAACTTAGAAGACAGATTCTTCTTCAATAGGCAATTTCCTGGTCTTTGTAGAGCTCTGCACTTCGGGAGGGCGTATATGCCTGTCAGAACTTTCCCGCGACAGGTTGGCTGACGGATCGGGACCAATTTGAGTTCAATTTTAAGTCAAATATTACTCCCAACCACGCCCTTACCACTGCAGACCTATTCCCGATCATCATCCAACCACCCGAATGTCGAACATTAACCGAATTCGCAAAACACCAGACAACCCATTGGCTAACCATGTTGGGGGGGGGGGGTCGTCAGTGTTTGGGAGGCCATATTCGGCTATGTGTGGCAGGGGCTAGCGACCCGATCAGAATCCGCTGTTCCAGTACAGGCTTACAATATGTTACAAGTTAGGACGACTATGTGGGTGTGCGGTATGAGCCAAGGATAATATCTGCCCGCCCGCTATAGACAGGTGAAACAACAGCAGCGGGAACAGGACAGGGTCAACCGCGGAGTGATTTAGAGAAGCACGCGACGCGAGCCAAGCCTGGAAAACATCGTTTTGGCACACACGCAGTACCATTGTAAGTTTAAACTTTAATGCAGGGTCCTATCTAAGCCTTGATACATCCCAGCTGATGCAGAAACTATTGTATAAGGTATCGACCAAGACTGGTTGTGGAAGGCTAGCGCTATACCTTTTGGTAGAACTTTGACGGAAAATACCCTTTTGGTGTACGGCATCAAGCGTTTTCTCAAGTTTCAACTTGTCATTTTCCCTCCAAACTCACACAATACATATTTGTTATTTTGTGTATTGGTTGTTTGATAATAAATTTTTGATACTGATAGAATTTGATTTTTTAAAAACTAACCACCCTTGGGCGGGGAAATGGATACAGACTGGCCAATTTGATACTGTCTTACCCCCACCAAAAGATCTGCTTGGAGATTATTAAAAACATCCATCCACAACCCACCCTGCTCTGAACTTGTAACTATGTGATGACCTCTCACCTCCGTGACTGGGGATGAGGCCCAGGTAGCTGTCCATCTGGTAGTACGGGCTCTTCTCCTGTCTCGTGTCCTGTTCTCCTGAAACATTACATTTTTAAAACTATTGTTTATATCGATAATGGATTGCTAATGTCACAGGAGAACAGATAAAAACGTGCGGCGTTGTGGGAAAGAGTCAATTGTGGTCAGGTGAGCACATTTGGTGTGTCAAAAATAGGTTTCATTATCATGGCTTGTCCTCGCGTTTAAATAGGTTTAAGTTCTACCTAATTCTACAAGCTTGTTGACTGTTTATTGCAAATAATCTATCAAGGGGTGCCACGCACTCGCGGCGTGTTTGTCGCTCTTAGTCGGTAACTACAACACAAACGACTACTAGTAGATGGCAGTGATTGCTTCACTGCCTATGCAGCATAGACTACGAGTGAAGCGTACATTCGCCGTTTTCAAAGTGTTCAACATTAGTCACATGACATATGTTGAGCTAGCAGAAGGTATCGTATTACCTGGATGTCAAACCTGCATCTCTACAACAGCGAAGCTCTGACAAAATAAAAGCAATTCACTCACTTTCCGGCTTGCTGTCCAGTTTCCCTGCGATCATGGGCATGGGTCCCTTGGCGCTGAGCTCCTTGGGTTTGGCGTCGCACATCCACTGCTTACAGCACTTCCCGGGAACCTTCTCCAGGCGGGGGAACGGGCAGTCGTCGGACGGCATTCGGACCTCCTGGAGATACAAGTAAAGCGTTTAATGCATAAATGAAATACCTTTTCGTACGTTTATGCTCATGCAAGACAAGACAAGAGTAGGTCATTGTGATAAAGTATTTCCAGGTAAATTAGCATTACTCAGGTTGTATATAAACTTTTGTCTAACACGTTTACAAGGACTAATGTTCAACCTTTTCTTGTTTTCTACGACAGTTGAAGATGTAAGAACAGATGGAGTTCCTAATACATAGATTATGGCAGATGCTTTTTTAGATGGTAGGTTTAACCATACTGTCGACCAACACAGGCGGTATTTGTTTATTTTCGGTGTCCATACCTGTAGACAGCGTTTGTTTGTTTGTTTGTTTGTTTGTTTGTTTGTTTGTTTGTGTGTCCGTACCTGTGGACAGAGCGGCGTGCACCCCACTGCGCCGTTCTGACAGACGCACTTCTCCCGGCAGCTCAGTTCGAACGCCTCCCCGCTCTGGTACACCTTCCCCTGGAACACGCACGGTGCCTGGAACGTCGCTACAACAACAAAACCGGCGTCATTTAGAAACGTGCACAAGAACTGATGATCCCATAGCAGAAGTGTGTGCATCACTGGAAGTGGTGATTAAAGACTAGGGATGCAATTGTACCCTGGGAGGGGGTAAAAATAAAGCCAGTATGTGTTTTTGAACAGTCGGTTTAAGGAATAGGACATGAACTAGATTAGATATGACATCATTCAATTCAACTTCACCATTCACGTTTTCCCCTGTTTTCAGATATTTTTGAGCGTTATGGTGTCTTTTACCCTTTTCCTTTCCTGATTTATGGAAAATTCTTCACCTTTACAGACTCCTGTTGGTTTGTCCCTGCTGTAGTCGCAGTACAGCCCGACTGTGTCATCACACGGCGCCATCTCAGAACACTCCTCCCCCAGCAGGCTGGCACACACCTTACACCGGCACCCGCACCGGTCCTCCAATAGGCGCACGCCTGGCAGACACGTGACCGGCTGGGCGGGGCAGGAACACTTCCCGTCACACTCGCCCTTTCCTTCAGGCAGGGCGTGGACCTGAAAGATGAGAACATTTGTTTGTTTGTTTGTTTGTTTGTTTGTTTGTTTGTTTGTTTGTGTGAACCAAACTGACTATTACAGACAATGTGCCCATATGGTAGGCATGGATCATCTAAAAGCTCTCTCGCTTTGGGTTGGCATTTCCTTTCATAATGATGAGACATGCGAAGGTGGTATAGACTTCCTGGTACTTTCGTTAGGTCATGTGTTCTAAGCGATTGGTCATTCTAACATGATGAAGACTTTAGTTCAGACCGTCGAAAGTTTGGTGAAACTTTTTGCTGCGCTGGATCCATGGAAGGCAATTTTTATCATGTGAAGATATGTGCTTCTTATGTCGTTTTTTTATTTTGAATTGACTTGTACTTGAACCTGGTTCAGCTCTTGCTAAATTTCCGTTCCCAATTTGACTGGAAGAGCATGGCATTTTAATCCTGGCAAAAAACATGGGTAGAAGCTCCTTTCGTGATTCTTTCCAGTTGCTCAAACAGACGACAATGTTGTTGTTCGTAGTTGGTGGTTTGTAGGGTGTTTGGCTGCGTGTCAAATATCTCCCACTGCCATGTTGAAAACTCGAACCGCGCCAAAGTTTGAAATTCCAGTGATCGCGGTCCAAAACAAATTACGCAAGAATCCCTTCCAGCCACGGTAAATCCCAATTAAGGCAAACTTTTGTTTTCAGCACCTGCGCCGAGCTAGCCGGACGCCTACTCGTTTTGCGCGGGTAAACACCCGAGTGTGTGCCGTTAGCGCGGTTGTGTCCGGATGTCGCGCTGCATGTGTACACAGGTTCGCACACACCGACATGTGGGACGTATAACTAGTCTCCTCCAGACCAACAACGTGGATGCAAAATCAGTAAAATTTAGTCAAATATGGAGAGTAATTGGCTGAGGGATTTTAGACATTTGCCGTTTGCCAGAAATTATCTCTCTGGTGAACTGAGTCTCCTGGCCAATTATTTCCCTTTTTGCCGAATTCTACGTATACAATCTGCATCCCCGTAGGAAGGCCTGGTGAAGGCTAACATATAACGGGAACTACGAAGGGTGTCTGGACTAAAATTAACGACAGCTACCCAAAGAGCCCTTCCGGAATCTTATAGAATCACTTAGTAGGACCAAGGAGGTTTTAGGGCAACCTCTTTAGTTAGAGACATGTTCTCTGTCAAGTAACGCTCCTCGGGGAAGGTAGACAATGTCTCCTTTGATTGTAGAACAACCGTTTTAAAATGGAAGAATACCAAACTTAACTGGCAGTTGTGCTTAAAAGGCGTCCAAATTTGCCCTTCGCGAGACGCAAACTTTACAAAGAATATTTTGCCAGTTTACAGTTGAGAGATAGCTAGACAATGTTGTTTAGATAACAGTTCCGTATCATAGTCTCAAGTACATGATACAGATACTTGTTGTTTTCACACGTGTTTGTTACATGTACATATATGTTACAGGAGACGGTAGGACGCCCCTCCTAGCGCCCGGTCAGGACAGCCTAGTCCCCACCAGAATAACAACGGACGGCTGGCCCTGTGAAACGCGCTCTTGTTTGTTTTGTCAACTTTGGTGGAACTATTTCACATCATAAGGCATGGGCGAGCGATGCACCTGTTATAGAAATATTTCTGATATTTATTCCAAACCAAATTTTACTTTAAAAAAGTGATTGGGTCCGAAAACAAAACTTTTAAAAACATTAGTACCAAGAACGATTGTCGAACCTTAGTAGGTTATTCCCCTTTCCTGGGGACAATGACTCCTTTATATGGAATGTACATTTTCAATCGCAGAAAGCCATTAACATAGCGAGACACACCGAACACCGCGCAAGGGACCGCAGGAATGTTACTCTGCACCAAGCCTGTCTGCAGGCTGTGTCACCCCTCTAACCCTGCCGAGATGGTACGGCCCGTTTGGACGGTCTCCAAGCCCAGGCGACCCCGAGGGCGCGCATTTAACCGTGCTTTCCTCTAGTCTCTATATCAGGCTCTACTGAGTGGGACTCTGAGTATTGCCAATCGCCCGTACTTTTTTCTGATTTTTGCCGTGTTCTTGCCTGTAGATGTTATGATGGGGTTGCAGTTTCAAAGGAAGCAGCTAGGGGGCGAAAATTGAACGCGTCCTTCAGGTCACCGACACAGACCAACATACCATATACGTAATGAAAATTCACAAGAAAAAATATTTTGATTCAGGAAGAGCTACAATATGAAATCTCCTCCCGAAGGCTACCTTCCTCCCAGCAGGCTATTCCCACACTCCTGTCCTCGGTGTTCTGTGAGCCGGGAAGCCTGCTTGGAGCCTATTTCCCCACCCCTGCGTTCAGCTGTGGTCCGTAGTCTTGCCAGGTACGACCCGCCGCCCCAATTATGCTGACAATGTCTCACTCCTTCCGGTAAACACAGCGGAGGGAACCTTGGCGCCGACAACACGGCTTGGCAAGTTGGCAGGGACGCACCGTTTGGCTAGCCTCCCCCAGGCTTCGGAAGCGGCTGGGAAGAGGCCAAATCGACAGATAACATGCCAGGGGAGCTGCTTCGCTCAGAGAGTTCATTCGCTTTACCCGGACCAATTCCCCTGGCATGGTATCTGTCTATTCGGCAAATTTTCACTCTTTCCAGTCGCTTCCGAAGCCTGGTAGAGGCTACCTCTTGGCAGAGACGCGCCGAGTCGCCTGCCATGTCACGGCCCTGCGTGTTGTGAAATCCTGTCCTCTACAGACCATTACCTCTCCGTGTTTTGAGGTAAACGGATCCGAAGCATATGTCTCTGACAAGTAGAGGAACGTGTTTTCATCTAGCTGACATATTCGATAAGCTAAAAATGAATTTGACTCTACTTTTTTGGTCACGTTACTTGAAAGCAATATAGAGTTACGGCCAGACTTCATATACACAGATCTACTTTTAAGCCATATCCGATGCCACAACACCAAAGGCAGTGCAAGTCACTTTGAATTCTTTTGTTATTATTTTAGATTTAAGATGTGGGTGTCTTCAAGGGAACTAATTGTGTTCTTTGAACTTTTGCATTTTCGTAAAAGTCGGTCCTCCAACTATCTGCCGACGACCCACCTTACAAGACTTAAGCTAAAAATCCAGCCACTTCGCTATCTAAAACTTGACATTTTGAGGTCATTGAACTCGTTTATCCATAAAAGATATCGCCCACAGACATCGGGAGGTGCAACAAGAGTTCCCTTATCGGAGAGGTCCCGCCTTCCGTGACATAACTGATAACTACATCGGCCTAAAGTAGTCTCAGCGACGGCCAAAAACATCACGGCGGAACCAAACCCCGTCGCGAAGTTGACCGAGCGCCAGACTTTAACACACATTCGGAGCGCTCAGTGCTGGCCGGGCGACAAGTTCTGAACATGACTGGGCATAGGTTGAGATCTCTTCCTCAAAATAGTAGAGACAAATTTGTACACCGATATTTAGAATGTTTCATGCGCATTTATGGTTTAGAACTGAACTTGACTTCAGTAGTATCGTCACTCGTAAGACCAACCCTACTATATGCAGTATTGCACCCAAATACAAAGGAAGACAAAGATAAACTGGAAAGTACATGTACAAGACCAAGCTGTAAGATTCTGTATGAACAATTATGGCAGGGATGTCAGTGTCACGGAAATGAAAACAAACCTACAGCGGGCCGTCAGACTATGCATGGTGTACAAAATGACTAATACTCTGGTGGATGTACCAAGTACTCAGAAAGAAAAGAACACCCACACATGGAATAGCATATCGTTCTCTTCCATTGTGTACGTAGTCCCGTGGGTGGGTTTTCCGTCCTCTCGCCCTACTTCTGACATATAACGAAACACTGTCGTCTCTGTTGTTGTGCCATACCCTGCCTGACATTCTCAGCCCACCACATAATATATATAAGAACAAGTCTTTGCTTCATGTACGTTGACAATGCTATCACTGTCCTCCAAGCATGAATGCACAGTTGTATTTCATATCTAGGTTGAAAGAATTACTCGAAGAAGGAAATGAAACAAGTAAATCTGGACTCACCAAACACGTGAGGAACACGGCCACTGCCACCACGGAACGCTGCAAGACCTTCATGTTCTTGAAGTTGAAGACGCTGTACAAGACGCAAGGACGCGTTACTTTAAGACAAAGACGAAGGCTTGAGAATTCTCCTGGGTGCTAGTTAGCTGTGCGCGGGTTCTCGCAGACCAGCTCTCCCGTAGTGAGACAGGCTTGTGGCTAGCCGCAGATCGGTTCTGAAATCGTCCCGACCGCAGACCGCATTTTATAGGCGAACCCGTCTTGTTTTCCCTGGGTGTGACGTCACGCCAGGCTCGGGTTGGGAGATCCCCCGGTAAACACGTGACGTCGGCAGGAATCCTTCTGGAATCTTCCGGTTGCCGGGGCGACCGGGGGCAAACCTTCCGAAACTTTCCTTATATGGCGATTTTTGTGTAAACGAAGTTTGCCGACGTGTCAGCGAGGCACGTCACCCGGTGAAGAGGCTATGCCAACGGGGAAGGGGAGGCTTTGTCCCTCGTTAATCAACTACACGACTACAGATGTCTCGCAGAGCGTCTTGGAGGCAAAAATATAAACTAGAACTTGAGTCTCGCGCCAACCTTCGGAACGGAACGACGGGGAGCGTTGAAGGATAAATGGCAGTCCCCAGTTCTGTACACCCTTCTGGGCCGTAGACATAGTCTAGAACTCGGCCAAGGCGTAAGGGGAATACATGGGTCAGTGAACCTTCTCCGTCATGCTTGCCTTACTCCTAAATGTAATAAACTCTATTTGGTCCATTGCTACTAAAAATGTATTTGTACAGTCCGAAAGGGTTTAGTGGCCTTAAGTGTACACCAGATAAAGGATTCGGATCTTCAAGTATGAGCCAATTTTGGAGGGCGTTGTCTTGTTAGAAGGCGGGCCATAGCCACCCTGACACCGTACATGTGTTCTAACCGTCCTTTTGCGAGCTATACGCTGCTTAAGGTCCTACAAGCTGCCGATGGAGTGTCAGGTCTGAGCGTCATAGCGTGCCACGGTAACTCTGGGCGGCGGAATTCGGTTACAACGATAATATTTTGGAGGGAAGGAAAACGTTTAATCCGTTCTAAAGTGTAGGAGTCTCCGGCGGTATGCGGGAAGGCATCGCCGGCACGCCCACCGCAGGAAGAGATCAGACGATCAAAATGCCAATAATTCGCCGACGGGTGTTGTGCATTAGGCCGAGCCGTCCGGCCAAAAGACGCGGGAGGCTATATTTAGTCAGTGACTGTGACCGTGCCGCGGCTTACCGGCTGCACGTGAAATGCTCGCTGACGTAACGTCGCACCAGGGGTTTGTTCTTACTCAGCCTTGGCGTTCCGTCTGTCAACAGGAACGTCGACTAACTGTCTTACTGAGTTCCGCCACACTGAAAACGAAAAGTGAAATAACGTCTACAGATACAAATAGGAATGAGAGGTGACGTAGAGGCCCTTCAAATCCATTGCCAAGTGCAAGCAGTATTCTTCCTGTTCTAATTGAAAAAGTACGTTAAACTTTCCTAAAATCAGCACACGACTCGGTCACGACTCGGAAATGAGTCGATAAACGCCTGTGTAGGGGCGTAATACCATCAATGTGGAAACTGTCTTTAAAGAGTCACAAAAGAAATAGCCTCTATTGACAATTACGTTATAATAGGAAGCGTCTGGGGCCCCATGCCATGTTGGCACTACACCGACCGTTTTACCGAGAAAGGGAAGTAAAAGAAGTGCCAAGAGGACATTACGAGTGGAAGTCCACGTAGGGTACCCTCCGTCATCCATTGTGAAGTACGATCCGTATTCCTCGCGCTCGTCTCCTTGACCTGGTCACTTTTGCTGCCATATTTCTTCTCCTTGATTCTCCTGTTAGACCATCCCGGCTTCAACGTATCAAGACAATGTGTCTATTTCTGAAGCCAAGATGAAAACTTGCCAATACCACACACTGAGTGACATCTCTCATCTTTGTTAATGTAGCTTGCACATATGAAGCCTTCCTGGTAGACTTCATATGTGTAAGTTACATATACATGTACACGATACATATACTGCCTATACTAGTGTAGCTTGCACATATGAAGCCCTTGAGACTTCATATGTGCAAGCTACATGTACACACTATACTATATACTAGTACATGTACTACATCTCTGTGTAGCTTGCACATATGAAACCTTCCTTGTAGACTTCATATGTGCAAGCTACAAAAGCTACAAGGTAATAGTATATATGGCGTAGCTTGCACATATGGAGCCTTCCTTGTAGACTTCATATGTTCAGTTCAGTTCAGTTCAGTTCAGTTTTTATTCGCACTTTAAAACAAAATACAGACACAAGAAAATATAAATGAAATGTGACAGTGCAGGGAGGCCGGAAGCATAAAATGCTTATGAGGAGGCCTCCCTTCATAACTTAATTAACGATTCAAATTAATCGGATAAATAAGAAATAACTTACTAGGTAACGGGTAAATGAAACAAAACAATAAAATACAATACGATACAATACTATCTACAATAATGAAAAGTAGTAATGAAAAGTAGTAAACAAGGAAACTTAAACAAAAATTAAGAATGTGTGGGGTTATTTATGAAAGTTGCTTTAGTATGATTTTTGAAAATGGTGATGGAGGGAGTAATTTGTAAAGTTCTACTTAGGTTGTTCCAAATTGTTGGGCCTCTGTACGTGATTGTAAATTGACGAAGATTCGATTTCGCATTGGATGGCCTTAAATAATTGCATTGGCGTGTAAAGTGGTTGTGGATGTCTGAGTTTAATAAGAAGGTGTAGGTGTCGTGGAAGGTTTCAGGAAGGCAAGGACATTTATTCATTATCTTGTACATTAAAAGACTTGTTTGTAGTTTATTTATGTCATTTATGGACAGTATTTTGAGCTTTTTAAACAATGGTGCAGTAGGGAAAGTGAATGAAACTTTTGACGCTATCCTGATGTATCGTTTCTGAAGCAAAAAAAGCGGTTTAAGTGATGTAGTGTATGTACTTGCCCATATAATATTACAATAACTTAAGTAAGGATAGATAAGACTATAATAGAGAGTGATAAATGTTTTAGGAGATAAAAGATTTCCTACTTTCCGTATAATACCAATGTTCTTGGATATTTTTTTACTAATAAGATCGATGTGATTTTTCCATGTTAATTTTGCATCTATTAAAACCCCTAGAAAACGGGTGTGTGTTACTTGAGTAATAAGGTTGTTGTTTATGTATATTTGTACGTTTTCCTTCGGGTAATTTCTATTTTTACCTGCAAATATTATTAAATTTGTTTTCTTAACATTTAAAGACAATTTGTTTGTTTTAAACCACTTATTTACTTTATCCAATTCTTCGTTCATTGTAGTTACTAACGTGTTGAGATTTTTATGAGACATGAATAGATTTGTATCATCAGCAAAGAGAAGAGCAAATAATTTTTGAGATACTTGTGCTAAATCATTTATGTAAATTAGAAAAAGTAGGGGTCCCAGGATGGATCCTTGCGGAACGCCACATGTTATCGAGTTATGTTGTGATTTGTAAATGCCATTGGTAACATATTGTTTTCTGTTAGCAAGATAATCTTTAAGCCAATCATGAACTGTGTTTTGTAAGCCGTACATATGTAATTTGTCAAGTAATATTTTGTGGTCAACGGTATCAAATGCTTTTGAAAGATCAAGAAATATGCCTACGGTGTATTCGTTGTTTTCTAACGCTTCGGTTATTTTATCAGTTAAGCATAACAGGGGCATGTACGTAGAATATTTTTTGCGAAATCCATATTGATGAGAATAAAGAATATTATTTGTTTCTAAGTGACTTAAAATTCTTTTATAAACTAATTTTTCTAAGATTTTTGAAAACGTAGGAAGGATTGATATAGGTCTGTAGTTTGTAAATATGTCAAGATCTCCGGTTTTGTATAGGGGTATTACTTTGGCCATTTTCAATTCTGTTGGTACTGATCCAGTTGACAAAGAAAGCTTAAAAATATGAGTAATTGGTTCTAAAATGGAGGAGACATTTTGCTTTATCAAAGATGCACTTAATTCGTCATGACCTGGAGCTGCATTTTTCAAATTTATGATAATATCGTGAATATGTGCAAGCTACAATCTAAAAGTACATATCTCATGAACATTTTTGTATACACCAATTGCTGGTGTACTTTTTGTTTCTGTGTCAGGCTCTACAAACCTTCGCTTGACTCATCCTGTCCATGTGTCACATCCATGCTATCCCACCAGGCCTTGCGCGTGTGCCAAGTCCAAGGTCAAGCACATGGGAGGGGTAATACGTGACCTTGAAGGTGCGAGTCAATAACGTCTGCACGGCAGAAGGCTGAGGGTTCTCTCCAAGAAAAAATATGTTTCTAAAAGGGAAGAGTGCCCTGAAAACCTGTCGTTATCAGATGGAATGAGATTTTAACTTGTGCAGGTGTACCTGTGAGTTTGTCTTCTTTTAAATCATACCTGAACATATATATCGAACATATATATGCAAATATAAAATCAAGTCACGCTCCAAATCAGGTATAAAATTAAGTCCAATCTCGGCTTCATTGATCGCTGTATAGTGAAAAGGGGGCCTTGTTACATCTCTGTTCTGTTACTGCTCCTTCTTATTGTATCTCGATGTGGGCAGGTTATCTTTTAGTCAATTGAACGCCCCACCGGTACCATTTATGCAGTTGTGGGAAAAGGAAAGGGTGTGTGGGGGATTTGTGGCCGCAAGTGCCTTAACCTCAACAACTGCACCAGTTTAGCACTGCAAATTTAGAAGCGCATTTTTAACCTTACTTTAAAAAGCCTGTTTATTCCGCGATACCGCTGATGTGTTGACGCTCCCCCGACCGTGGGGTCGCGTCCAGACGTCAGTGGAGAATACCGTGGAGATTTCCCGTGCCGGGCTGTGTCTGTGTCAGTTCTGACGACCATGAGAGAAGGCCGGGCCGCACGCAACTATCTCCAACCGCCTAATCCCTCTAGCTCTGTAAGAACCGTAGGCCGTAGCCCTAAGCTAGCAACCTTAACCTTCGTTTTAGCGAAAACCGTCGGGTCGTTACACGTACCTGTTGTACCTAGAACCATGCTTTATCCAGAACCTCGGGAACGGTCCTGGATAGTCCACATTCAAGTTAAGAACTTATTTTCGTGCCGCCATGTTCTGGTTGTATTTTATTGTATGGAAGGACAGGTTATCATTCAGAAATTCCTTTTACGGATGCCTGCTTCGGGGCTCTAAAACGTATGCAGTGCTAGT